CCACGAGGAGGAACAACGTCGGCAGCCGACGTGGACTACGATGCTGCTGGCCATATGACCAGCAGGGTTGATCGTGCAAACGGACAATGCTTTCATCGTTTGTTGTGCCGGAGACTGAGAGACCCGTCCAATGTGCAAACTGCAAATTTGAGAAATCATATACATTTAGCAGTGTAAGTGTTGCCAAGAAAAGAATTGTCCCTTTGCTTATTTCATCGCCACGTGAACTAGTGCCCACTTTTTATTACCCTCCACCTCCAGCAACGGTCTTCCTAGATTCTCTGTTCATAAGCACTCCTGAGTCCTGCCTCCCAAGGTCCCCCCTCTCCCTCTCTCTCATCAGTCTCGTTTTGTTCAAGCAACAGAAGAGGAATTGCAATTTGCAAAGGCACCCACACCCCGATACGACACCATCAGATGTAAATGCAATGATGACTCAGAATTAGGCGCTGTTTAGAACCGTGGGACAGACGTTTATTGCATGTTTTTTATAACTGAACCGGTCAGGGGTCCGATTACCAGTTAGAATGGTTAGCCCGTTTTGACAAAAAAATAAAAAAAAATTAAAAATTGAATACCGGTCAAAACCATTCGAATAGTTCGAACGGTTAACCAGCCGGTTCAGTGGTTTGTTGATCAAAAACAACGGTTCTGGGGAAAAATGGAATGGTTCCTGATTTTTCCGGTCCAACCATCCGGCCTGGTCCAATTTTGAAAACCATGGTATATTGAGTAAATGCTGTTATATAGGTGTCATTTCAGCATTTTTTCCATTATATATATCCGTATGTATAGAGAATTGCAAAAGGAGGTCTTGATTTATTTGTGGGTCTATTGTTGGGAGAAGCTTCATTTTAGTGCTTCCTCTAACGATTAACGGATTTATTATTACTTTTTTATTTTTCAAATAAATCAAATACAAACTTTAACGAATAAACACCCACGATTCCAAACACATATTTAATCTCTCCAGTTCTACCTAGTGAGCGACCCATCTGTCTCGGTCATCAGGCCAGCCACCACAGAGCAACAACAATTGTGGGTCATCAGATGCTCTGGGAGGCTGAGGATCATGTTTGCATTTTGGTAATTGTCAGGGTGTTTGATTCTATTTATGTTTATTGGTAGTGCCACATAGGCACCATCTCAGCATTTTCTCTCTCTTGTTTTTCTGCATGTATCAAAAATACAAAAAGTGAATTTTAGTTTTTGTGCATGCCAGCGGTTTGTGGAATTTATTTTTTAAAACTTTCACAAATGGCCAGGCGTTTATTATAAATTGTTACAATTATTGTATTTTTCTATTTTACCAGCAAATAAACTACAAACGTTTATTCAATAAACATAAAGGGAACCAAACACCAAACACGTACTGTATTTCTTTTCCCCCGTTTCTGAGTAATTAAACGAACCAATTGTTTTCTCAGTAATTAGAGCGAACAGTTTCACGCCCACTATCAAATCACTTGTCCTTTCAAAAAAAATTAAGGAATATGTGAATGTAGAAAAGCGCCCTATGATTTTCAACAAGACGAAGCACTATGTAGCCTCGGCTAGTTTTTCTCCAATTCACATGAATCGTCCTTGCTAAGAATTAGTAGTGGTCAGTGCTCAGTCTATAGATTGTCCTGCTTCAATAGTTCCTCAATCTATCCTACTTCACTAGTCTAATGAAACCGAGCTCGGTGCACTGTGGACACTGTTGTACATTCATTTGTCCAATATAATTGACCCCTACTCTCTCTAATACTAACTTTGATTGCGGTTATAATTTTCAACAAGTTCAAGACTAATAAGAAACAGGAAACTATCTGGGTGCTAGGGTTTATGGATCAATAGATGTTTAGAAGATAATAAACCACCATTGAGTCCATCCCATCTAAAAGAGGACCTACAGAAATAATCAATTTGGATTTTTTAATGGATGGAAATACCATAACTCCCAGTATTATTATCCTTCATTTCTCCGTCACAATTAATCTTCATGGAACCTCTCCAAAGGGGTACTTCATCTCATATTACTTTCTATCACATTAGCTAATATTCATTTTAAAAAAAATTTCAGGACCTCATGACTGAACAGCTTAAGCTTTTAGGTTAATTGGTTCTTTGAGATAATATCAGAGCCTGTTTAACCAAGTGGTCTAATATTTGATTCTCGTTATCCCTATTCTAATCAATTAAATTTAAGCACAAGGTGTATAAGGGAGTGTGGAATAAAAACATGTTGAGGGATCTCACCTTACAGCATAAGTTTTTAGGTTGAATGATTCCTTGAGAATCAAGATAAGAAGACCTTCGTTTTAGTAATTTAATAATATTTTGTAATTTCAGTAGCGGTACCACAAAAGCACCGTGGGACTGTAAAATATCCACCCAAAACAGTTTGTAATTTCGGTCTGTAAATCTTGCGAATCCAGGGTATAGTTTTTCAAACTTCAATGTTCCAATGCTTTTCAGTTTCTATTTTGTATCAGAGCAAACAATGTGACTATTCTGGTTTGCGTCATTAAATTGGCTTTTGCTCCATATGTTTGCATTGCAATTTCATTTGTGCTGATACAAATGAATGGGAATGCAAATGAGAAAAGTGCAAATTTTGATTTTGTTTTGGATTTTATTCTTCATCTGCACTCTCATACTTGGCAATTGGCACCAGTGCAGATAAAAATTCAATTGCAAACATACCAGGCCTTAGGTACAAGTTCCTCTACAATTTGGGCAAAGTTAGTACTTGAAATGCTTTAAAAAATGGCACGGAATCGAAACTATTTTGGCCATCGGTTTCTAGGGCAATGGTTTAATCATCCGATTTGAAATGGCCAAAAACCGTTGAACAGATCAAATAGATCATTAACCGATTCAATGGTTTTTGGCCAAAAACTAGGTTTGAGATAAAACGAAATCGATTGCCTGAACAATTCCCAGGCCAAACAATCCAGTCGTCCAGATCAAAGGCGGTTTAAAAACCATTTAAAAGTCACTGTTGCTGAGAGATTGTATGGTCTATTGGTCTTAAAATGAGCTAGCCCACGGTCTACGGATAGGATGATATAGCTTAGAATTTGGGTGGGTCAGGTATGCGCCTTAAGAGTTAGGGCTCAAATTTGAATTTGGTCTGATATTGGGCTGACCCTCTACAAACTTGAGAAATGATTGCATATCTAAGATAGTATTTTTTTTTAATAAAGTAATTGTACAAAGTGCCATATTTGGCAGTTCAAATCCATTATAGACCCGATTTTGAGTCAATCTCAAATCTGTGGCAAATAATTGCACATTGCAGCTCATATGGAGCTTGAATTCATTGACATAAGCTCAGGCTCTTATTACCAGAATAAAACAAAAGTTGAGGTTCCACCCTCCTGTCCTGACATGGGGCTAGCACAGCAGAGCTGGACTCACGCACAAGAACGTGTGAGCGGATGGATTCATCATTCATTTCGAATGTACCTTGGACCAGGCGAACCTGACCTCAATCCTCCATTAAACCCATAATACAACTGCGATATCAGGCCACGTTCTCACATGAAATGAGGTGCCCCCACTTGATTATACAGTGGAAACCCCCACTAAACGGATCACAGGTCATCAGGATCAGGAATTCAGGATGATATGGGCCTTTTTTTATTATTGTATTATATTCTCTGAAAGTCTGAATGACCCGATTCATGCAAATTGTGCCCACAAAATATGAAGCCTACTTTCACGTGACCCCACCCGCTTCCCAAAAAATAATAATAATAATAGTAATAAAGAAATTCATAAGTATGGAAATGGAGTTGATCGGTCCACACAGGTTGGAAAACAGAGAAATCTAATGGCAAATTGAGAGATGAGATAGAAGCAATGCAGATTGACAGATCCTTCAAGTGCATCAGGGTAAATTTTGAGAAATATAATAAATAAATGGATGATGAGTTTAGCTTTGAACCATGGTTCAGGAAAGGATGAATTCAATAGAGGTGGCAGTACGTGGGCGGGATCACGATTGCACAAGAACATTCACATTCCCCTCCGACGGTGGAAATCTACTCTTTTATACCCTCTTGAACTTTTTACTGATCCGGCAGTTTTTGGCCTCTCTCTCATTCAAAGATGACAATGTCATGGAATTGGAATCCATTTCCTCCTGCCCTTTCCAGCAGGTAACAAGTTATTAAGGTACAAGACGATATGTGACCACGCTCAGCCTGATTTTCAATTCTTTCATTTTTTTTCTTAAAAATAATAAGAAATAATGAAGTTAAAAAAAATAAAAACGAAAAGAAAGCATAGTACTAGACAAAGCATCCGAGTCTAACTATGGGGTATTGTCCCCTCTTATGGTAGAGTTTAGAGAAACTCCAAAAAAGGTAGAGTAGGATGAGGCCCCATCTGCTTGATTTCAACTGACTCTGAGTGTCTCTGAGATGTCTAATGTCTGAGGCAGACATCACCACCACGGCACCACTACAATCCATCAAGAAATTCAGAAATTGTTTATTAATAAATTAAAAATATTATTATTTTTTTCTTAGCGACGAAGGCCACTCAAGTGTGTGGCTGTGTGCACCAACACATTGAAGAGTGATAGGGTTGCTTATTGTTGGAGTTTGCCATCATCAAGGAGCACTTCCATGCCCTCAAATGTTCCTGTTCACTGAAACAACTACATAGCTTTCTTTTCATTCAGTTTCAGTATCAACTTGAGTGTGTGAAAGAGAGAGAGAGAGAGATGACAAGAGGACCTGTCCTCAAAAACTTTCCACAAAAAGATAAAAGACAGAGGACACTAGGGCCACATTACTCCCAGTGGTCATTCCCAAAATAGGATCTTACTTTCTTTCTGGCTCTCCAGAGTCCAGCCTTGCAGCTCCACTCACATCAATTTCTCAATTTAATCCTAGCATCATTCAATGCAATGTATAATTTTAAACATAAAATTCTCCAAATCAACAATGGAAGGACTGAACACGCCAAAAAATAATAATATTGATAGTAAACACCAACAAATCAATGAAATGAAGAGAATTGAATAAAAGAAGGAATGGCAATTTTTCATTTTACACTTTGAATGGATATTTAGAGGCCAAAGGCTTTTACAGTCTCTACAATGGCTGGAGCTACATCAAGCTCCCCTCTCTCAGGAACCCAAAACAAAACAGCCCTCCCCAAAACCCTAAAACAGAAACAGGGTATGGGATTAACTGGGCATCTTGACAGTCATTTCAACCGCAAACTGCAAGAGCTAAATGCTTGCAAGGAATCCCCCCATCCCAAATCTCTCTCCATTTTCACACCCATCCAACCCCTATCAAAGTACATGCATAAAGAAAGATATACAACACTTGCTTTGAAGACCAATCACAACCTATAACACTTTGGAGTAACCAAAAAAATGGCCCAAATTAAAGCAGAACTTCACTGCGGTTTATTGGAGAAACTTTTGGGAGAGCCACCAGCTATTATCCAGAGGCAGTGAATTTATCCACCACAGATAGCAACTTGCATAGAAACCCACATTATGATGATTCTTCGTGTGTGTGAAAACAATCGAGAGAATTACAAGTTTTTAGTATACACAAGACAAGAGGAGCAAAGCCGAGTACCTCAGAACCCCCCCATCCCCCAAACTTTGCACCACTCGAGCTGGTCAATTTCTTGCTTGCAATTTCTGTCGGAGCTGGCGGGCCCTTCAACTCTGTTACTCCCAAAGGCAGGAATGGAAAGGGGATGATCGGATGTATATGCTCAAACAGAAATTTGTCTTTACTGGATTGTTCTTGTAAGCTTGCACTTGGAAATGAAGATAGTATCGGTGTAATTTAGACTACACAGCTTCAAAAGCTCTGATGATCGCTGCTTCAGAGCAGGATTACAACCACTCTGAATGACGAGTAAAAGCTTTGCTGCCAAACCAGCTTCCACCGCAATTGCTGCACATTCCTCAGGAGCAAGTTTGCAGACCTCCCATAAGATCGACAATGCATACTGTGTACAGCTCTCGGATACCCTCATCAAGAGCCTCACCATATTTGGAATTGTATTAGAGCAAACCTTCAGAGCCGACCTTCCTTCGGGCAAGGTGCACAAAATGTCTAAGATGAAAAGAGCCGATTCCAAGCAATCGGGATTCAAATTGGGCAAAAGCTCAACCAATTGGGGAACAGCACCAACACTCACCACCAAGTTTCTGACTTGATTATGCGAACAAATTGTCTTTAGGAGACCAAGCCCAGCGGAAGTCCCATTTGGGTGTCGCTTATCCTTGATCAGCCTCAACAATCCAACCAAGAGGCTCGGACTGGAAACAACCTCTGAACTAAAATTCTTCTCATCCATCAACATTTCAATCAGCCTTGTACAATTGATCTTGGTTTCGATGGACCCCTCATTCAAAATGTCTACCATCAAAGAGATCTTGGCAGGTTGCATCAGATTCACCTTTGACTCAGAATCGAGGTTCAAGTTCACAAGTATCCCAATGGATTCGGACCCAACAGCGTGGGAAGTGAAAGGACCCAGTAGAGATGAAATGAGAGCCACACCGCCCTCGTCAACCACCGTCTTCTTCGCCGAGGCATGGGAGGCTACGACCTGTTGCAGCTCCTTGAGGGCTTGAACTCGGGCTTGTCCCTTAACCTTCTTTAGTGTCTCCAAAAGCTCCGACGCCCTGCCCTGCAAATCTTCGGACCTCTTCTTCATAAGCAAGTATTTCTGAGAGAACCATCTATAGATTAGATGATGAAGCGTTTTGTTTGGTGTGATCGAATCGTCCCAAAGTTCCTGCATCGTTGTCGGGCAGGTGAAGTGCCCTAAGGAGAACCATTTGAGAATGTTGGATCTCTCATAAGTTTGGCCAGTGCAGAGCGTCACTGGGTCCTGCATAGGTTCGAGAGAGATGGGGCAGATGAAGACGGAGGGAACTTCGTCCAAATCGAGCTCTTCGATCATCTTCTTCAGATCCAATTTCTCACCACCACCACCGCAGACTCCACCACCACCACCCCCACCCAAAACACCATCTTTGACTGCAGTGTCCAGATCTAGAACATGCCCGCCACCACCCACCACGTCAAACCTAACATCCCCATCCCTTCTCCAACCAGAAGGCTGGAACATCGGCATTTCTGGTAAACCTTTAGAAAAATGAAAAGAAATAGCCAAACAACAGAAACCCTAGAAAAAGACCCCTAAAATATCTCTGCAACTACAACAACAATAACCACCCCTTCCAGGCAGATCACATCCGCTCCACATGAGATGTGTGAAAAAGAGAAAAAAAGAAACGGAGAAAACCCAGTTTCTCTTTCATTGACAATCACAAGCAATACTAGCCTTTAATGGAGACATCTTTTCTTCTTTCCTCTTTTTGCTTTATCTGATCTCTTTCTCCAGTCAAAAGACTCCTCACCATCATCACGGACATCATAAACGTATAATCTTCTTCCCTAAAACCAAAGCTCACTTCCTCTTCAAGCTCAAAAAGGGAGAAATCATCAAACCCAAATCAGAAGGAGAAAAACACAAAAAGATCAATAGAGGCGAACCATTTATAATTTCACTCAAAGATCAACAGTACCCCCTCACTCAAAATTCCCCGAATAAATCATAAATTGAAACCTTGCGCTATAATCTACTCAGAAGAACGGATGTGATGAGATGGAGGATAGACGAGAGAGAGAGAGAGAGAGAGAGAGTAATGAGGGCATACCAAACCAAGATGGTGAGGAAAAGAGAAGAGAAAAGCTAACCCTGCAACGCTCCTCTGCTTCTCTTTCTTTTTGTCACAGACTCAGTAGTGAAGACCCCCAAATTTACTAAAAATTAAAAATCCAGTAATCGAGTTCTTCTTAAAATATTGGATTACCGGGTAGCAGAGGGCTACAGCCGGTGGTAAGCCCCCTCGACCCTCGCACCACACGTGCAGTCATATCACCTGTCGGCTCTCGCCGTAATCTCCCGGTTGCTATTTATCATTTTTACCTAATTTTAAAGATTGGCAAGAATTCCAATTTGACAAACATACCCTTGCTTCCGCCCAAAATTATGCTTCTCACCTTTCTCCAATCTCCCTCACTACTACAAGACTAGGACATCTCTGTCACTGTCCAAAGTTGTAGTGTTAGAGAAAGTTCCAACTTTGAACTTTGACCTTTTTTGAAGACTAAAATTTCTCCGTCGTATCTCTCCTGATCAAGGGTCCAGATTAACCAATGGGAATGTCGATTTCATATCCGTTGGATGGTCCAGTTAACAAAAGATTGCAGCCACCGGAAGTCATTCACTGTATATATTATTGTTGGCTCTTTACTCTCTCCAAAATCCAAATAAAGTAGAAGGACAAATCGGTCTTTTGATATGAAAGAGTGAGGGGGGGAGGGGGAAGAGGGGAAAAGGAAAGCCCCACACGACGCAAAAAGCCGGTCCGTTTTCTACTCGCACACTCATCAGAATTCAGAGTTCAGACCCTCTCTCCCTCTCCCTCTCCCTCTCCCCTCGAAAAGAGAAGGCCCACGGGACTCGGGCAGCGTCTTCGGGGTGGACCTCCCCCCCAGTCCCCAGCTTACGATGGTCGCACATCTCGATTTGGCAAAACGAATATTTCAGAATATAAATGGCAAAACAAAAAAAAAAATATTTATTAACGGGAACTGGGTCCCACTCACCTCACCTCTTTTATAAAGTGCCAGCTCAGCATTTGACCATCATAGCTTTGCTTTGACTGCACGCCTCGGGCTTATCCGGTCTCTGGTTTGACTGCTTTGCATGGCGAGTCCTCGAGAGACCACTCTTGCATGCTTACCCTGTAGCCAGTAATGCAATGACACGTAGTGGTGGGAACCGTGCCTAGCCTGTCTAAACTCTGTTTTACTTGAATTGTTTTTTGGACTAAATTAAATAAAACTCAGCTCAGCTGCTGATCAAAGCATCAAACACAAGTGGGTGGGAGGAGTGATTTATATTTGCTTTAAATACAAATCTACATATATATTATAATATTGCCTCCTCGGAGCACTCAATTTACAAATATGCCCCGGCATCATTAAGTAAACATCGGAAAAGCCATTTAATTCCTCTGCTCCGCTTGCTTATCATGTGCTAAACTTAATATTATATACGATTCCATGAAGCGACTCACCTTTATTTCCCCCCGCTAGGTCCACAAACGATTTGTGCTATGCTAGTTACGAGGAGATAGATTAGTGGTCATTGTAGAAACAAAAACTCTTGACTATGGTGAAACGTGAAAGACCTCCTCTGACTCGGATCTGGGCGAGTCGATGCGGTTGACTTGGTGAGTCAATATTTCCAATTTATAATTTTGTGCAAGGACCAGTGAGCCCACCATATCGTTTTTGCATACAAACCGGAAGGCACCTTGCACGTGACATTTAGTGAACAGAAAAAGATAAGAGACAGGCTTTATATAGTTTCTTTCCATCCCTTCAAAGTTCAAACCTCTCATAGAAGAAGTGAGGTATCGTATCCGCTTTATATACAACAGGGGTAGGTAGCACGTGCATTGCACGTGCTATTCTTATTATTAAAGAGAAAAGCCTCACTGAGACTGAGACCGAGAGGCTTCGTGCATATATATATATATATATATATATATGTGTGATAGAAGTAGACATTCATTTTTATGGTAATAGATAGGGCTGTTTATAACAAGATCCAAATCTATCAAACCGACCAATCCGGTCCGATTCAATATATATGTGTGTGTGACAGAAGTAGGACATTCATTTTTATGGTAACAGATAGGGCTGTTCATGACAAGACCCAAATCTACCAAACCGATCAATCCGGTCCGATTCAATTCGAGTTGGCCGGTTTTTCTTTAGTTTCGGTCAATTTCGGATTATAAAAAAACATAAACCGATGGTTCAGTTTGGTTTCGGTTTTTATGTGTGAAAATCGAAACTGAACCGATCCAAACCAAGTTAAATATATATTATATATAATATATTTCAGATATTATATATATATATATCAGCTTTATTTTAGAAATATACATATTATATATAAAATTTTTTATATATAAAATATCAGTTTTAATCCATCAAATCATTTTTAATTTCCAGGCATCTAGACTTTTTTTTCTTAGACTTGAATCCTTTACCATTCACACCAAGAGAATCATTCACAAAACCAATCCAAACTAACCCAAACCAATTCAAACCGGCCAAATCAATTTTACTTAGTACTAGGTCGGTTTCGATTTCATTTCTAGGTAAACTGATCAGGTCGAATCGATTGAAAAAATACTAGTAAACCGATCCAACCTGACCCATGAATAGCCCTAGTAATAGAAGTGTGATATATAAACATTAAAGAAGCAAGAGAGCACGTGCAATGCACATGGTGTACTGAATAATGGACAAAATAAAAGAGGTCCACTTTGTATGATGTTTCTGCATGCGTTGAGGCCTCACACTGAAGTGGGGGTATCCACTTTACATTGTAATACAGGTAAGACGTTCATCTCGCTAATTCATCGGGCAACCTATATATAAGCACAGTTGCCTATTATTATTTTAAAATTTAATAAAAAATATTATTATTTGTAAAATGGAAATTTTTTCCTTTTTTTTTTGTTTTTGATCTTCAAAGCATTACTAATTTGGAAGGCAAACCCCACAATAGTGTGAAAGATCCATGTAGAATAGATGGACCAAGGCAAAGTAACAATAGAATGATCTCATCTTACGTGACTAGAAAGCATTATTACCATAAAATGCCAAACTTAGTCCCTTATGACAGCTGCTGTACATTGCAATGAACCTCATTGAAATCTTTACCAAAAAAAAAGAACGTCATTGAAATGTTTCCATTTATTGATAAATGTGCAACGCAAACAGGTGTTTCTTTACTAGTTTTGTAACAGTTGTTTAATAACCAACACACATCAGAAAATATGGTAGATAAAATTCAATTAAATTATTTTATAAAAAATAATAATTCAAGATAAAAATACATACAAAATTGCATGGATGGGTTCGACTATGATACAAAAAAGATATGATATCAGAAAAAGCTTCGATCAATCAGCTGATATAACAACAGAGATGATCAATCAGGTGATATTAATTAAAATTCATGAGTTGCTTTAATTGGTAAAAGCTTTTTCAGTACCATATCTTTTGGTATCATAGATTTTCACTGTTTTCTTAATTCAAATAGAAAGTAATCTCATTCCCTTTATTAATAAATTAAATTTAAGTAGACTAATTAACTGAAATAATAAAAAACAATCACCAAAGGCTTTCAAGCCTTCAAGGTACCACATACTTAATTGGTGTGGAACTGTGGGTCCATACTTGCTGCTTGACTGGACTAGTATGAATGGATTGTACGGGATTATTGATATTGTTATGGTCAAGGCCTATTAGGATTTTGATTTAAATGCATCATACGGTTATACCAACATGTGAGAATCGCAAGTGATGAAGGAAGATTTAGTTCGATCTCGTAATCACTCAACATATGGCAAAGGCAATAGTTCGGTACAACAGTCTGCCCAAGGCGTGAGCTCCGAAAAGAGGAACCAACGGTCCGAACTCCCTACAAAGAGCCCGAATTCCTCGTAAGGAGCCCGAGCTCTCCCTTAGACCCCGAGCCTTACGAACACAAAGGGCAACAACCTGAACTGCCCTGTCCAATGGTAGTTCAGGCCACACCTCTATCCGAATTCAAGACTTCACATCGCACACCACCCAACACTTCGCCTCTAGGACGCCGAACCGTACCTGACACCGAAGGAGTCCGTATCCAGGGGCGACGCACTTGACTGACTTGGGATCTGACGCTTGACAGCCGCACTTCAACAACCACCTACCACCGCCACCTGTCACCGCCATCTCCAGTTACAGAAATGGCTCCGACAAAGGACAGTAATAGTTCTGCCCCAACAGAGGTGATGATGCCCAAACTGACAAAAACGATTAACTAGTAAAGCCTTAACAATGAAATAGGACATTTTTGTCATTGAGAGAACGGAATCTTCCGATTGGTGACGAGTGACGACAACATTACCAAAGAGCAAGTAAATTTTTTATTGTTGTAGAGTCCAGTGCCAGGGGAGAAAGGGTAGAGGGTGTTGTTGAGCGAAGAGGGTTACTCAGCCCCAAATTGCAACGTCTTGTCGTTTGTCAAATCTCAAGGGGCGTTCTCTTAAATTAAAGAGGGGCCACGTTGAAATGTCCATATCCACACTTTCCACGTGTAAGGCTCTGATTAGATTGTGAATCAGACATTACATCAACATCAAGCAAACCCCTACAGCCCTACATTATTTTTACCCTCACCAAGGCAAATCAGTAATAAATTGCCTTGTCGGGTTAACGGGGCCGAGCCGTCCGCTGATGGCCTGGCCTGAGGCTGAGGCCTCTTTCAGTTTCACGCCAGTCAGTCATTGGTCGGTTAGCTAAAGACGCATTTTTTGTAGTCAAAATTACTTTTGAACTTTAAAACTTTACAAGTGTGCCGCAGCGTGAGTAAAGGGGCAATTTCGGGATTCAAAGGAACCCGCACGTGAGCGTCGATTCGATCCCTGTAGGACATGTGAGGGTTGCTTTGGACGAGTACGTGACGAACTGGCTATATGGTGATGTGACAGTCACACTGCGCTCAATATTAAATTTAATTAAATTTCTTAATATGAACGAATGTTCGGATTGGCTGGTTTAGCCGTTGGATCAAATAGACCTGGTTATTTTATCGCCCGTGCCAGCTTCAAGCCTTCAATAAATAATCAATGTGCAGTGAAAACTTTGTATTTTAAAATGGGTTGGCCGGATTAACTCTCAGCTTTCCACCGGTTTGATATG